ACACATCAGCTTCATAGTGAACATAATCCTCAGCTAAATAGTATCATAGATTATCAGATTAATTTTGCAGAAAATATTAAAAAGGACATAGATAAAATTAGTAATCTTTTTATTTCATCTATAGATCATCTCCGTAATAATCGTAGTATAATTAAAGATCAAGTAAAAAAATTAGATTATATCCAAGATCAGTGTAGTTCTATCTTACAAAAAAGAATAGATTTAAATTTAGAAAAATTTCCTACTAAGCTAGAAATAGAAACATTAATTTCAGCTACAAATCAAATAGCTAAACAAATAGAACAAATTAATCAAATTCAAGATAATTTAAAACAAAAATTAGAAATTTTAGAATAACTTGTAAGATCTTAGTTTATGAGTAGTGATAAAAAAGCTAATAGAGGCTACCAAATTATTTTAAAACAAGCAGAAGATTTTCATAATAACCCAGAAGGAATCAGTAGCTATCAAGGAATCAATCAGTCAGATAAAATAACAGTAAGACAAAATAATATAGAAATTCTATTTTTAATTAGAGTGTGTGAAAATTTTGAATATCTATCAGAACAACTACACAGCTTAAAAAATCGTCTAGCTTCTTTAGAAAAAATAATACTTCAAAAAGGAAAAGGAGTAGAAGGACAAACTAATAGACCCCAATCTCAGGTAATTGAAGAGGATATCGCCAGATATTTTGAAAAGCTTAAATTACCAAGAAAATCCACCTGTAGAATTTACAGAAAATAAAAATGTTTAAACAGCTAATAAAAGGAAGTAGTAGTAAAAAGCGTAATGAAGATGAATATATTAAAGTGAAAGAATTTATAGATGTAGAACAGCAAATAGAAAAATTTTAAAAAGAAAAGTTAGAGTTAATTCCAGCTAAATATGTGTATAAGCTAGGTAAGATTCATAAAAAAACAATATTTATTTAAACACTATGGTGAACAGATGATTAGTGTAACTCAAGAAGATGAGAAAATAGAGCTAAATTTAATAGAAAGAGAAAGCTATAAATATGCAGTAAATGAACACCTTAAAATGACTCATTTAGGATTAGTAGTGGTAGGAGTTAAGGCTTTAACTAGAGAAAATTTAGGAACTAAAGTGTTTGTATGTCTCTATGATGATAGGTTTAATGATGTCGGACAGAGTATTTTAGGTAGCTATGAACTAGATATGAATTCAAAAGGAGGAATAGTTTATTTTACACCAAATTTTTTACTACCAGCCTCGACCTTTCATAAAAAGATAAAAATAGGAATAAAGAGTAGAGGATATAAAATGAAAAGGGGAGAAACGAATTTATTAGTTTGTACAGGATTTTTAGGTTTAGCAGTCTCAGAAAGCAATACTCACTATAGACTTACAAATGATCAGATAGTTAAATTATTAAGCGCAAAAGGAATAAAAGCATTACCAGGTAAAAAATTTAATTTTGAAGATAATGTAGCACTAGATTGGAAACTAGGAGATTTTCTAGGACAAAAGAGATTAGCCCCTCAAGATAATTTATTATACCAAACAGTAGATGGAAATTATGCAGTAAGATTTACTCAGTTTACTAATGTAGCACCAGAAAAATCTAAAGATGATGAATTTAGTAGTATAGATAGGGAAGAAAATCGAGATAATCGTAGTGAAATAAATCAGCTTTACGTAATGACAGAAGAAAAACTATATCACAAAATAAGATACATACAGCCAGTCAATAATCAAGGAACCCTTTTAGATTTAGCTAGATTCGACCCTCAGATATGGCAGGAAGTAATAGAAAGATGGGAAAAAGATACAGTAAAAGCATGGATGACTAGTCCCTATGAATCAACGGATATGTGGGAATATATGGAGACACTTCTAGGAGATTCAGCTTATAATATTTATTTAACTTTCAAAGGGAAATATGAAGAAACAATTAAATAGCTCAAAAAATTAGGAAATAACCCGTGAAATTTTACAAATTTTATTAAAGAAATACTTATAGGATATGATCCTTCTAGAGGAAATGATTCCGCTCAAGGCGTAGCATTAACTGAGTTAGACCAAATAACATTAGGAAGTTGGAAATATATTGTACCTTTTAGTAGAGAATACTTAGCCATAGCAGCAAGAACTGGAAAAAGTTTTGATGAAGAAATAGGAATTAAATATTTTAGAAAATTACCAGGAGAATTAGGAAGAGAAATAGAAAACAAATGGTCAATTTATTATGCAAGTTTACCAGCAAAAATAGCCACAGGAGAATTAAGAATAAGAGGAACTTTAGGAATAGGACCTAGAATAGTTTTTACATTTTATAAGCTCAGAGAAAAATGTATAGAAATTAAAATACAGAAAGACTTGAAAAAACAAAGTTACGGCTTTTGTAGCAGTGTAATATATACTCCTCAGCAATATAAAGATGAATATAATAGGAAAAAATACAAAAAATATGGAAAATATAGAAAAGAAAAATATTGGAAGAAAAAATATAGAAAACCATGGAAAAAATAAAAATTCATTAGAAAAAGTAGAACTTTTAATAGGACAAATTATAAGAAATTACCCAGAGAAGAAAAGGATAAAAGAAAACAAAGATGTGTTAGAAAACCCAACAGTAGAAAATGCAATTGTTTTATATGTGGAGAACCCAATCATTTTGCAAAAAACTGTCCAAAAAAACGAAGACCAAATACTAATAAACAGATAGAAAGACTACATATTATAGAAGACTTAGAAGAAGATATAGTTAGCATAACTAGTGATGATTCAGAAGTATATAGCATAGTCAGCGATTATGAATATCAAATAGAAGCCATAAGTTCAGATAGTGATTCAGAAAGTGATACGAATATATATAATCTTTTAGGACAACTCAACCAGGAAATAGGACTAACTCCTTCCCAAGATACTTTCTTTATGATGGAATGTAATGCAGATACTGAATGTCAGCATAACTTTCAAATAGGATTAGGATTTGATACCACTAGATGCAGCTATTGTAATTGGTTTCCAGCTAAAGATAAACGAGCTCGATGTATATTATGCAGTATAACCTATTGTATAGTCTGTCTAGAAAAATTAAATATGACACATAAGATAGCATTAGGAAATACTAAAGAAGATCATAGTCTAGAAAGCAGAGAATTGCATGTAACAATTAGAGAATTAGAACTACAAGTAAGAGAACTTAAGGTACAAATACACGAGATAGAAACTAAGACTATTTTTGACATAGAATGTTTAGAAGTAGAGAATAGACAGCTTAAACAGCAGTTAGAACAATTTCACAATAAGTACCCTTTAAAAGACAAACTGATTGAAGAGCATATGAATTCATTAGAATTAGTTAACCTAGTTGATTCTCAACCCTTTAGTCAATACTCTAAAGCCCAACCAGATACTACATCTTTACCATTCAATTATCCGGTTATACCTAAACCAAATTTAGTTGAGATCTCATGTGTAATCAAGTTTGCAGCAAAAACCCTTAGTATAAATGTCATGATAGATACAGGAGCTAGTAAATCATATATTGAACAACAAGTAGTTCCACCAGGATGGAGCACAACTTTAACAACCCCAACTTTAGTTAGTATAGCCGACGGCACTAAACAGACATACACACATTGCATCAATGGAGCGCAGATTAGTTTTCATCATCTAGGTTCTCAAGATCAGCATATAGAATGGTTTCCTTTACCTCAGGTTTGGATTGGAAATACCCGACAAAATCATCCTTTCATCTTAGGACTTAATTTCATCCTTAGCCTACAAGGTGGCATGTTACTCAGTCAAAACAACATTAGTTTCTTCAAGCGAACTGTACATACACCAACAGCTTATGCCCTTAGCACCATAGGGAGGCTAAGCAATGACCATTCCATTACATAATTTACATTCCACCTTCATTCTAGTGAACCAAACAAAAAAATACCTAAGGCAATGAGGAGTACATGAGCTTTTAACAATGACCCAAGAAATAAAGGAGAAAATAAGAGCAAACCATCTAAACTCTTCCAATTTCAAAATCATTGTTGGCCAGTTATTTCCATTACAAATAATAAATAAATAAATAAATTCAATAACCATGAAAACATTTCTTGAACAATGTAAGCAACCAGACACATGTCCATAAATGTTCATCAGAAAGAGAGATATGTGGGAGAAGAAAGAACAAACCGTCATTGAGGATTGCAATGATAAGAACCATAAAAGGTGGAAAGTCGAATTTCCATATCAGGGCCAGCAACATAAAACCAAGCTGTCACAGTGAAAAACACGCAGACCAGGGTAAGAAATTATAATAGGATGCTCTCAAACAAACAAAGGTACAAACTTTATGGTCCTAAGACACCATATACATTCTACATAACAAAACCTTCCAGAGAAAAACACTAGAGAACTTACCACAATACGGATTGTAATAGAAACAGCATAAATCTGCAAAAATAAATAAATAAATAAACGAACATAGATTCACAAAAGGTGGCATGACAACAGTAAGAGCTCATAACTCCTCAAGTACCATTAACATAGTTATACCCGAAAAATGGAAAGAATAGTTCAATAGAAACTAAACCTGTGACGGCTAAGTCAAAAAAGTCAATTGTAAGAACTAGTGATGGATGCAAAAGCGATGTTTTTGCAATTTTACATCTAAAGTTTTGATAATTTGATAAATGAAGAAGATGAGTTGAATTTGAAAACTACTAGTAGTTATATTCCAAAGCAGTTAACAAAATACATTTTGGAAAAGAAAAGGCGTTACAAAGCTTCAAAACCTTCTGAGTTGTCTCTATATAATAATAGTACAGATAAACACCATCATGTGAACCAATGCATACCGTGTAATTTTTCATTCTCTGGAAAATTGCTCGACTAGTCAAAACAGCACTAATGATGACACTAAGACCAGGTTCAGTAAGGACAATATCAGAAGCACTCCGAGCTGCATCAGTTGCATCGGCAACAGCAATGCCAATGTCAGCCTTCTTAAGTGCAGGAGCATCATTGACTCCATCACCAGTCATTCCACAGATGTGTTTCAAAGCTTGCAATCGCTTTACTATCTCATATTTGTGTTCTGATTTAATAACCACAATAAGCCCATCAACGAAAGCAACAATTATGTAGAAACATTCTATCTTGGCATTGCATACATCAACTCCAAAGGAAGATTATATAATAAAATTTCAAATAAATAAACTCCATACCAGGAAAGACACCGGCAAAACCATCAGCTTTTTCTATGAGCTCATCAATTGGTAAAGCAGCAATGGACTCATCCTTGTTCTGTCCGAGCAAAGCAGAAGAAGGATACATGTTGGTTCCCATTCCCAAGCGGCGTCCAGTTTCCTTTCCTATTGCTAATTGATCCCCTGATAAAAAGTTTTAATGTTCAGCCATCAATACGGTATTAAATATCCCGGTTCGCTAAAATGAAGTATAAGCATGTGGAGCACTCTAAAATAGCCAAAGCGATCATGCATCCTAATAGTGGGCTGAGAAAAGAAAAGAAATAATTGTGTTTTCTCACAATCATGTTTGGATGAGTTAGAGAAAAAAATGTAAAAATTAGGAATATGGGTGATATTTATTTTTCTTCCTTTGTATTTTGATGTTTAATCTTGGTATCATAAAAATTATACAACCAATCAGTTGGTTTCCCACCAAATCTCAAATCTCACCGTTTTTGGTGAGAAAATAATAAGATAGTTCTCTTTCTCTCCAGTTCTCACCATTTCTTACTTAATTTGTAAATCAAACATGAGATAGAGTCATCTTTCTCTTCATTTCTTATCATTTCTCATGAAATCACTCCATCCAAATGGGCTGGCAATCTAGGCATGATGAAAGGGAAAAAATATTATTTCATCCAAAGCCACACTCAACAAAAAGATGTCATGACCACATTATGGTAGAAGAGTTTGGGCACATACAGAAGCATCTTATATAAATTTTATACATCCTTCAGGATCCGATACTATAGCAATCACAAAGCCAAAACACTCATTAAAACTGCAAAATGGACTGCACCTGTAATCATTTTAACATTTACTCCAAGATTTAAGGCCCTTCTTATTGTCTCTGCACTGTCATGCCTGGGTGGGTCAAAGAGAGGCATGAGACCAATGAAATGCCAGGGACCTCCGGCGCTCTCTTTCCTTCCCTCTGGTACTTCCTGCACCGAAAAGGAGAATTTAATCAAATCAAAATTCCCGAAACCAATAAAATTAAAACAATTTCAGTTATCTACAACTCATATGATAAAATCAAGGGATCATAAATTAAGGGAACGGGAATCAACTTACCTGGTATGCTACAGCAAGTGATCGCAAACCTCGCTCTGCAAATTTATCAATCACAGCATGAACCCTGTGCTCTATGTCCGACTTATTGTGGGCAAGATTTAGAATCTAACAACCACATTGCAATCATGAATTAGGATAAACAACAGAGAAATGAAGAGCTAAACCCATAAAGCAAGCGAGGATGATATCGATACCTGCTCTGGAGCACCTTTGCTGACCCTATGCATTTTACCTTCACTGTCAATGTAAGTCAATGCTGTTCTCTTATCAGTAGGATTGAAGGGCAGGAAGTGTACCTCTTGAATGCCAGCACGTGCCTGTCATATTGTCTTTAGGGATAATTATCAAAGCAAAGAAGCAACTTGCCTGTATCAGCTCCAATTAAAAGTGTAAAGAAGTTGTGATAATCAGCCAATTACCTCTTTTGGGTCAGCCAACATCCCAACTATAGCGGCATCAATTGCATCCTGGTTTTCTAATCGCGATGCTCGAGCTGCCATCAAAACTACAGTATCCGCATCTACTCCTTTGGCAAAAACCTGAGAAGATATGTGCAGGAATATAGTTAGAACAAGAGCCACAATCTCTTACAGAGAGACGCACCTATAATCATTGTCATCAAATCACGAATCGAATTGTGTATCATTTTGCTAAAATAGTGAATCATGAGCCATAAGATTCACTTTATTTAGCATAATATATAATTTTATATATGTATGTATATACATGCAAATACACAGTGTTTAAAACCATATATATCAATATAATTGGTTGATCTCTTTTTTTATTTTGTGAAAGCAACGCCATTTCATGCATTATGCAAATAGAACTAAATCAATTGAATAGCAATTGAATCGTTTTGCTTGAAACTCATATCGAATCATACGAATCAAATCATGAATTGTAAGAATCCAATAACCATGCTTATAATCAAAACAGGGAAAGGCACCTCCTCACTTACCTCAATAAGATTCTTGTCAACGGTGAGCTTGTTCAAAGTCAGAGTTCCAGTCTTGTCGCTGCAAAGCACATCCATGCCCGCCATCTCTTCTATTGCTGTCATTCTCTTTGTAATAGCTCCCTGCAGTCATTATTAAATATTATGTCATATATACACAAGTCCTCAACTCAAAGCAACAAAAAGAACCCAGGAAACCAAGCCAACCTGCTGTGCTAAGCGATGAGAACCAATGGCCATTGTTACTGATAAAACCGTTGGCATGGCAATTGGAATACCTCCAATGAGTAGCACAAGTAGATTGTCAATCCCAGGGCGATACTTCCGATCTTGAATTGGGTACATCACAATAATCTCAACTAGCATTCCCACCGCAATAGAACAAATGCAAAAGTTTCCAATTGCTGTCAAGACCTAATAAGATCAAGGAAATAATGGAATGTTATTGAACAAGAAAAACATAGCAAGTTAGAACAAAGGCATAAAATTTCTACTTCCTTGCCTTTTGAAAGTGGCCCACTTGGTTAGTAGAATCAACAAGGTGAGCAGCCTTCCCAAAGAAGGTGTGAACCCCTGTGGCAATGACCAAAGCTTCAATCTCTCCTTGCTTGCAAGTAGAACCAGAGTAAACACCATCTCCGGGGCCTTTTGTTACAGGAAGAGACTCCCCTGTCAAAGCAGACTAAATTACCCAAGCAGGACAATTTCAGTAACACAGCTAAAACTCAACCACTAAAACATGAAAAGCGCATGCACAGCAATGCTAATCCAATACCCACCTGGTCAATTTTCAGAGGATCGCCTTCAAGAAGACGAGAATCTGCAGGGACTATATCTCCAAGTTTTATACTAATTACGTCTCCGGGTACTAAAATAGCAGCATCTTCCTCACTCCACCTTCCATCTCGAAGAACCTTTAAATCCATACAGTTAAGATTGAAACAAACTCAGAACAGCAGGTAATGTATATTATCAAAAATAAAAATGGAAACATTCAGTCACTTTCCCATAACTTCATTAAGTCACGACTAAAACAAATATGATTTAATTTCATTAATGAAAATGACAATGTAAATGATATGTAATCCGACACCTTGGCTTTGGGAGCGAGACGAGCCATGAGAGCAGCAGCAGCATTTCCTGCGTTGTTCTCTTCGATAAAACTAATTGTCGAGTTAATCACAAGCAAAGTAATTATACCCACAAAGTCTTGCCAATCAGGAGGCTTTCCCTGAAAAAATTAAAAATTACACTTCAATAATTTAGCAGTAGATGGCAAGGTTTGAATGAATATTGTTACATAAATCCAAACAGTGAGTTCTTACTCCTCCATTGGCGAGGGCAATAGCCATGATTGCCGCAGCTTCCATGACCCATGATAGAGGATTCCACATAAATCCCAAAAACTTCAAGAATTTACTCTCCTGAAACACACCCAACACACCAATTTTTGTGGTGACAAAAAAATAAAAACATCAGAATCACAGTTCAAAAGGGCTGAAACATCAAACATCACTTCAATCCATACCCTATATAAAACTCAAAAAAATTAAGAGTTACACATACAACACACATAAATGTTGACAAGACAATAGGGGTTAAGATCAGAATCACATTTCAAAAAGTGGAATCACATATGAGGGTGTTTTTGATAAGAAGCATTACCTTTTTCTCCTCAAGCTTGTTGTACCCAAAAAGCTCTAGCCTTTGTTGCGAAGCCTCAGTGGTTAAACCCTCTCTGCTACATCTCAGATTCTCAAAAACTTCCCCAATGGGTATGCTCTCCTGCATTCACAGAACCCAAATCCATCAAAAACCCAAATGAAACAGCCAATCAAATTTCACACACACAACAATCAAGAAATCAACACATCAACACATCATTAACTGTAAGATCCATTACCAAATCAACAGCTTCCTTCAAAACAGCCTCCAGAACTTCAGACTTCTCCCCCATTTTCCTCTCTCTATCCCTCTCTCTATCTTCAATTTTAACTCAGTAAAACCAACTAGATATCAGAACCCATCAAAGAACCTCCACGAACAGACCATTAAAGCAAGAACATGTAACTTTGCAGAGAAATGAAAAACAACCCAGTAGTAAAAAGACCTCTGTCTCGTCCTAGCTGTCGACGAGACGATTTGGGGAGGGGGGGAGGAGTGATATTCACTAATAGTTGAAGAGGGGCTGGTGTAATTAACCCTTAAATATATAATAGTATATACAACTGTGCCTAATGCACTATGAGTGCATATATATATATATATATGGGTTCACCGTTCACATGATAATTTCCTCCTCAACATTATTGAATCAGTCAGTTTGAACATTCACAAAAATGGTGGGTTTTTGTAGTGTGAATATTACTCTTAAAATTGTGAAACAGAAATTTGAATGTGAAACTTCACGCTTTCAATCAATAAACTTACTAGAACAATGTGACAACTTCAAACTATTCAATAAAAAATGTAACACTTCTTTAATGCTTTTAGATGCCTGAGTATAAGGGAATGATATTCTAAAGAAACTCAGCAGAGGCTTGTTTTCCAGTCCAAGCAACTTATGATGCTTCGCAATTCCTCAGTAGCTATTAGAAATAGAGTAGCCATTTTGCCTAGTGAAATATTAAAATTTCTTCTGTGTACTGATCTTCATTTGCTGAGATAAGTGGTTCTTTATAAATAGAAAGAGCATGGTGTTTGAACCTTACGATTAAGCGCTCAATTTTGATTGGGTTATTTGCATGTTTTAAATAACGGTATCAGGACATATATCGGTATCGGTGATATACGGCTACATATCAATTGATATTGAAGAGTATTGCACAGTATTGGCTGATACATCAGTGAATAATAGTATCGGAAGGCCAAAATCAGTGTAACGGCTGATATGATACGTAGCAGCTGATATTTTAAACCCTGGTTATTTCCCCCTTTTTTTTAGAAACCGAAGTTGATGGAGAAAATAAGAAAGTTTTCTAATTTTTCGTTCCTTTCTTTTGTTTTATTGGCAGCCATTATATGCTTTTATGGTTGGGTAGCTGCTGAATCCACTGCTACATTTTTCTTCTGACTCATTTTGCTGTTAGTTTTTATGCTTTGACGATTCATGATTTGTGAGTGCTACCACGCTTTTTAGGTCCCAATGACAGGAAAAGGTGCATCTTTGAAAACAAAGTTTGTTTTCTTATTTACTTTTAATATTATTGTTTGGCTGCCTTGGATATTATGGGAAAGACAAGAATATAAAAAATTCCATCCAAACTAACTAATTTCACATAATTTTCCTACTCATAGATGTGGTATGTAATAATGAAACTTATGTATTTGAAGCAGGATCCACTAAAATAATATGATAAGAACAACTCAACTTTCATGTGTGAGTAAGAAATTTAATAAGATTTATTAATTTGTATGACATTATTCCAAGCATATGAGAATTCACTCTTCTTTTTTTCAAAAATGAGAAACTTTGAATCAACTGGGTGAAAAGTTGTATTAGACTTAGTTGAGGGGAGTTTTGTTGTTTGAAGATTTTACCGCCCTCGTAATTTGTATGGCTTGAGAATGCTCTATAATGGTTACATGTTTTGTGACCAACTTTCTGACCCTAAAACTTCATTCTGTACAAGCTTTTATTAACTATCGATGCTATGCTAGAATGTAAGGTGTTACCCCTTGTCTAGAGATATCTCCCGTTCGTATTGTGGTCCTGGTACTTATCAAAAGAAAATAAAACTTTTATGCAGTTTTGTTTTTGGGTTGTTAATATTAAGTCCCATTTATTTCCCACATCCCATCAAATGTCCAAAACACCCATGCTGAATCAAATTGGAAACTTATATTTATGAGAGAATCACACCATGTAGTTAAAATCTTGAGTGGGTAACTCTCTCTCTCTCTCTATGTGCATACTGTGCGGTTGTTTTGAGATAATCTAAATAAGTATATTTTTTGACTTTTTATAAAAAAGATGTGCAATGTGGTAGAGAGATGATGTGATTTGAATAAGAGGTGATGAGACCCAAATAAAATAAAAGATGTGCTAAAGTAGCACATGCCAAACAACCCCTATATATAAATATGTCTATGTATATGTGTGTGTGTGCGCGCGCGTGTGCAAAAGTATATGCATATACATATGCTTGTAGTGTATTTACATATAGGGCTAATTACACTAAGACCCCTTCAACTATTAGTAAATATCACTTACCCTCTTTATCTATGAACTTATACATTTTTTGACCCCTAATGTATCACTTTCACCCTTTCTAGACCCCCTTCAGATCACCTCCAAAAGGGGTGTATTTGTATAATTTTCATAGTTGAGAGGGCCAGTATGTATAGATTTATAGATTTGGGGAGGGGGGGAGGAGTGATATTCACTAATAGTTGAAGAGGGGCTGGTGTAATTAACCCTTAAATATATAATAGTATATACAACTGTGCCTAATGCACTATGAGTGCATATATATATATATATATGGGTTCACCGTTCACATGATAATTTCCTCCTCAACATTATTGAATCAGTCAGTTTGAACATTCACAAAAATGGTGGGTTTTTGTAGTGTGAATATTACTCTTAAAATTGTGAAACAGAAATTTGAATGTGAAACTTCACGCTTTCAATCAATAAACTTACTAGAACAATGTGACAACTTCAAACTATTCAATAAAAAATGTAACACTTCTTTACACTGAAATTACAAAAATTATTTAATAAAAGATGTAAATATTCACTCTTTTTATTCTAAAAATACAAAAATCACTTAACAAAGAATTGTGAACATTCAAACCCAATTTGCATGTTTTAAATAACGGTATCAGGACATATATCGGTATCGGTGATATACGGCTACATATCAATTGATATTGAAGAGTATTGCACAGTATTGGCTGATACATCAGTGAATAATAGTATCGGAAGGCCAAAATCAGTGTAACGGCTGATATGATACGTAGCAGCTGATATTTTAAACCCTGGTTATTTCCCCCTTTTTTTTAGAAACCGAAGTTGATGGAGAAAATAAGAAAGTTTTCTAATTTTTCGTTCCTTTCTTTTGTTTTATTGGCAGCCATTATATGCTTTTATGGTTGGGTAGCTGCTGAATCCACTGCTACATTTTTCTTCTGACTCATTTTGCTGTTAGTTTTTATGCTTTGACGATTCATGATTTGTGAGTGCTACCACGCTTTTTAGGTCCCAATGACAGGAAAAGGTGCATCTTTGAAAACAAAGTTTGTTTTCTTATTTACTTTTAATATTATTGTTTGGCTGCCTTGGATATTATGGGAAAGACAAGAATATAAAAAATTCCATCCAAACTAACTAATTTCACATAATTTTCCTACTCATAGATGTGGTATGTAATAATGAAACTTATGTATTTGAAGCAGGATCCACTAAAATAATATGATAAGAACAACTCAACTTTCATGTGTGAGTAAGAAATTTAATAAGATTTATTAATTTGTATGACATTATTCCAAGCATATGAGAATTCACTCTTCTTTTTTTCAAAAATGAGAAACTTTGAATCAACTGGGTGAAAAGTTGTATTAGACTTAGTTGAGGGGAGTTTTGTTGTTTGAAGATTTTACCGCCCTCGTAATTTGTATGGCTTGAGAATGCTCTATAATGGTTACATGTTTTGTGACCAACTTTCTGACCCTAAAACTTCATTCTGTACAAGCTTTTATTAACTATCGATGCTATGCTAGAATGTAAGGTGTTACCCCTTGTCTAGAGATATCTCCCGTTCGTATTGTGGTCCTGGTACTTATCAAAAGAAAATAAAACTTTTATGCAGTTTTGTTTTTGGGTTGTTAATATTAAGTCCCATTTATTTCCCACATCCCATCAAATGTCCAAAACACCCATGCTGAATCAAATTGGAAACTTATATTTATGAGAGAATCACACCATGTAGTTAAAATCTTGAGTGGGTAACTCTCTCTCTCTCTCTATGTGCATACTGTGCGGTTGTTTTGAGATAATCTAAATAAGTATATTTTTTGACTTTTTATAAAAAAGATGTGCAATGTGGTAGAGAGATGATGTGATTTGAATAAGAGGTGATGAGACCCAAATAAAATAAAAGATGTGCTAAAGTAGCACATGCCAAACAACCCCTATATATAAATATGTCTATGTATATGTGTGTGTGTGTGCGCGCGTGTGCAAAAGTATATACATATACATATGCTTGTGGTGTATTTACATATAGGGCTAATTACACTAAGACCCCTTCAACTATTAGTAAATATCACTTACCCTCTTTATCTATGAACTTATACATTTTTTGACCCCTAATGTATCACTTTCACCCTTTCTAGACCCCCTTCAGATCACCTCCAAAAGGGGTGTATTTGTATAATTTTCATAGTTGAGAGGGCCAGTATGTATAGATTTATAGATTTGGGGAGGGGGGGAGGAGTGATATTCACTAATAGTTGAAGAGGGGCTGGTGTAATTAACCCTTAAATATATAATAGTATATACAACTGTGCCTAATGCACTATGAGTGCATATATATATATATATATGGGTTCACCGTTCACATGATAATTTCCTCCTCAACATTATTGAATCAGTCAGTTTGAACATTCACAAAAATGGTGGGTTTTTGTAGTGTGAATATTACTCTTAAAATTGTGAAACAGAAATTTGAATGTGAAACTTCACGCTTTCAATCAATAAACTTACTAGAACAATGTGACAACTTCAAACTATTCAATAAAAAATGTAACACTTCTTTACACTGAAATTACAAAAATTATTTAATAAAAGATGTAAATATTCACTCTTTTTATTCTAAAAATACAAAAATCACGTAACAAAGAATTGTGAACATTCAAACCCAATACAAAAACATCTGCCAAGGAAGTATAGCAAAACTAAAAACCCTTCAAGACTAACCAATACCGGTCAACACTAACACAAAGCCTATATGATCCAACAATTGATCATCCCCCAGTCGGCATTACTCCCCCGAATACCCCAAATTAACACCCACACAAAAAATGCCGTAATGTGAAATGCAGCAACAAAAGTATGATCCTACTATGCGAGAGTAGATGAATAATATATCTACAAGGTAACAAGACAAATCCCATAAATGATGCACAATCTCCCAACCCCCCCCCCCCCCCAAAAGAAAAAAAAAGAAAAAAGAAAATCTTTATAGTGCAATATAGGTGAGATATACATACCATGTAAAAATAAGGATAAAATAGTCATGAGTAAAATGCAAAAGTTAAATATGAGATCTTAGCCAATAAAATTAACTATCTAGGACTTAATGGATTAATGATTGCCCATAGGATTTACTAATGAAGAACCCCATCCAATAGGATTTTCCACTAATTTACCATATGTTTTTTAGAGCCTTAGATAATTATTATCTTTGTTGAGTTGCTTGAATGCTATGGTGCACTGACATCTAGTTTGAATCTTTACTGTGTTTAGAGGTGTCTGATTGGATTGCTTGATTCTATTATATATATGTTGAAGCTTAAGCTAATATAGAGTTATATATGCTAACTTGATAGGTCAAACGATTACCCATACGATTTACTAATAAACAACCCAATAGGATTTCCACTAATTTACCCTATGTGTTTTAGAATCATAGGCCTCGTTTCGGATTGGCTTTTTAAGTGGTTGTTTTTGGCTTTTTAGATAGCTAAAAAGGCTAATGTGTTTGGGAAGTTGTAATGTGATTAGTTGCTATTTTGTAAGTGAAAAAGTTGATATGACATTTGCCTTTTTTAGCTAATGACCAACATGCTTTTTGGCTTTTTTAACCAAAAAACTGGGTGCAAGTTTAAAAACCTAAATCATGGATTTGACATAACTAGATCGCAAGAGTTATTTGAAATCCATCCTGCTAAAGATTTTAAGTGCATAAGCATTCTAATTAGGATGCATCTCTATTCTCTCTCATCTCGCTCTATCATTTCTGTCAAAACTCCATTACAACTTAAATACTCCATCCTGATAAATTTCATCCTAAATCTTTTCATCCAAGGTCCATTAATCCAAATGCAACCTAGAAGTGTAATATGAATTGTGTTGGGTGAGCTTATTGGTTGTGGTTGTGAAAACCCGATGTTCAATGTTTTACTCGAAAAGGCGAGTCTGGTTTATTCTGACTACCTTTCCACTTAGTGCTTTTTGTTTAACAATTCTTTTTGATTCACTTTTAGTTCTTTCTGTTGTCTAACAGTTGGAAAGTATTCCTTTGATGGTGCAAGGAGTATGGGCTGAAGATCCTGCAGCACAAATAGAAGCAACCACACAGTTCAGAAAGCTATTATCAATTGGTATGTTTGGAGTTCCAGTATTGAAATTTTTTTTAGGAATGGTTCAATATACCTGTTTTAAATGTTGACTTTTGTTTGTGACGTGTGTAGAGCGCAGCCCTCCAATAGATGAAGTGATCAAAGCAGGTGTTGTTCCTCGGTTTGTGGAGTTCCTTGGAAGGCATGATTTGCCTCAACTGCAAGTAGGGACTAATTTTACTTTCGCTTTTTTCACTCAACTGGTATTTCTGTAAGGTTAAATTACTCTAGCACCTGCTTGATTTTGACTTTGTTTTCAGTTTGAGGCAGCTTGGGCTTTGACCAATGTTGCATCTGGGACATCAGAGCATACCCGAGTTGTCATTGAACATGGTGCTGTCCCCAAATTTGTGCAACTTTTGAGCTCTGCAAGTGATGATGTCCGCGAACAGGTAAACTCTTTCAGAAATCTTTCAAATTTTTGCACTACTTGATTTTGTTAACTATGTTTCAAAAGCGTTTTCTTGAAACTTCAATGATTCCATATTTGTTGTTATGAATTTAAATGTTTGAAAATTTTCATCATTATTGCTAACTTTTTTAATAATTCAATGTGTGCGCTCTCCCCCCTCAACCTTCCCCCAGCAGGGCTGCTCAGCCTAATTGTAATGCTTACATTCCATCCTGCTTCATTCTTTTAGTCCTTAGATTTCTCCTTTTGTTTTTTTTTTTTTTTTTGTAATTCTAAATTCCAATTAGCTTCCAGCACCTAATTGTTTCTCAACACAGGTCTGTTAATTATTTTTTGTTGTGGCTACTAATGAATTTGCAACTCTTAATTTCCGTATCTTATAAACAGGCAGTATGGGCTTTGGGTAATGTTGCTGGTGACTCTCCAAGTTGTAGGGATCTTGTTCTTGGTCAGGGTGCGCTTATGCCTTTATTAGCTCAGTTGAATGAACACTCAAAACTATCTATGCTGAGAAATGCTACATGGACTCTGTCAAACTTTTGTCGGGGCAAGCCTCCAACACCGTTTGAGCAGGTTGTGGAACATCTCAAAGTTTAAATATTTTCATTTAATAATCTTGCAGATTGGATATTATGGATTTTAAAGATATTTGCCTTCCTTATTTAACCGTGTTAAGGTGGGCAAGTTTGGTTATGGTAATTGTCTTCTTTTGGTGTTGACAGGTGAAACCTGCATTGCCAGTTCTTCAGCAACTTATCCACTTGAATGATGAAGAAGTTCTAACAGATGCTTGCTGGGCACTCTCTTATCTTTCTGATGGCCCAAATGACAAAATTCAAGCTGTGCTTGAGGCAGGTGTCTGTCCACGCCTTGTGGAGCTGCTGCTGTATGTTCCTATTTGCTTCATACTTCTTATGACATTGATTTTAAATTTGATGTCTTTTAGTTTTCTAGAATTAGTTCTGCAGAAAAAATTCTCCTCTTTTGCAAATTAGTGGAATATTTTTTTCTTTTCTCAGGGGCTAAATTTCATTATGTGTTATTCTCTTTATAGTGGTCAGATTTGTAAAAGTAGTACTAACTAACTAAATTTTGTTTTTCACTAGTCATCCATCCCCTACAGTTCTTATACCCGCACTTAGGACAGTGGGAAATATTGTTACTGGTGATGATGCCCAAACTCAGGTATTAATGATTTCTACTTGTGTACTGTTAGTTCTTACCATAATATCAGTTTGATGCAATATCTTCAATTCTTCATATTAGGGGTGTCCGCGGTTCGGTTTGGGACGGTTTGCGGTTCGGTTTGGACCAGCCCGCACGCATGTATGCGGTTTGAAGAAAAGTCAACCCGCAACCGCCCGCAATGCGGTTTGCGGTTTGTGCGGATAGGGACGGTTTGCGGATTGAACTTTTTTTCAAAATTTTTTTGTTAAACCCTTTTTTTTCCCCCATTTTTTATCAATATTTCTTTTAGACCTTTTTCCTGCCATTTTCTAAAATGCTCTAACATTAATAATTAATGAATTAAAACTTATAAAAAACTTATATAATAAAAAACACAACAAAATCAATTCGTAATCTAAACAAATCATTCAAAATTTACCTTCATCATTAACTTGCATTCATCTTAATTCGTAACCTAAACGAATCATTCAAAATTTACATTCATCATTAACTTGCATTCATCCTACATTCATCATTCCTAACTCAAATTAAAAAATCCTACATTCATCAATCCTAACCCAAATACAAAAAAAAAAAAAAAAATTTTGAACGGTCAGATTTGAAGGAAAAAAAAAGGGGTTTTTTTGAATGGTCAGATTTAAAAATTAAAAAAAATAAAAAATAAATAAATAAATAAATAAATAAATAAATAAATAAAAGAGAGGTTTTATGCAGGCGGGTTGGACGGGTGCGGGTCAAACCCGCAACCCGCCCGCAACCTGAAAATTAGATAAAATCCAAACCGTACCCTACCCTAATGTGTTTGCGAAACCGCCCATACATGCGTGGTTCGGATCGGATAGGGCGGTTTGGGCGGGTCGGATGATCCTATGCCCAGCCCTACTTCATATTCATTCACTGCATTTCAGTACTAATACCAACATCAAAGATGATATTCTTGTAATCAATACAATTTCCATATTTGTTAATATATGACAACTTATTGTAGTAGATTTGTTTTGGCATTCTAGTAGTGAAAAAAGATGGATGGAAAAGGACTTGCTAGAGAAGGCTTCTGATTCTTTTTTTCTTTTTTGATCAACAACAAAAGATTTTTTTTGATAAATCAAAAAAGGTACGAGGAGAAGGTTTCTGGCCTGGGTAAGAATAGAAAATTTGGTTTTACTATTTGGTTTTATACTTTACATGTACATGACCCAGCCCTGTTTTTTTTATTTGAACTTCTAGTTAATTATTCTTTATCAAAGTGAAAATATACGTAAGTTTTTTACTTTGCTCCTTGTACTAGAAAAGCTGAATGCTGAGATCATTTTTAAAAAAAAAATTTAGCATGTAAAACTGCATTTTAGAGAAATGAGAGTGCTGAGAAAGATTGAAATTCTCTCTCTCTCTCTCTCTCTCTCTCTCTCTCTCTGTCATTTGTTTGACATTGACAAACTTTATATACTTTTCCCCCACATGAGAAATTAATTCTTTTAATTTGTTTCAGTTTGTGATTGACAACCATGTCCTCCCTTGTCTCTATCAACTTCTCACACAAAATCACAAAAAAAGCATCAAGAAAGAAGCTTGCTGGACAATATCAAATATCACTGCTGGGAATAGAAGTCAAATTCAGGTATATGGATTCTCTCGCATATCCTCAAAAGATTCTTATGTGTCATCAACCATGATTATGTGACACAACGTGGCACAAATCTCTCTTTGCTTGCATGTCTCGTGTTCGTCGACCATGACTGACTGGGTTCATTGGTGGAAATGAGGGCTTGTATCCTCATTTTATTCACGACCTATAGGACATTTTTTTTAATCTTTTCCAACTAACGTCTATCTAATCTGAAATCATTTGTTACTGAAGATATATATTTGAGTTGGAAATTTGGGCACAGCTGGTTTATCATCAGAAGAGAGGCTCATGCACTCATCATAGCTGTTTCCATATGGCACCACTCTTGTTCTGTTTTACTGAAAAACTTTAGTATGTTTTGTTTGTTGCTCATAAATCATTCCCTAATTCCCATACAAAACATCATGAGGTGAATTGACAACAAACGCCAACAACTGTGGCAATGTGTGTTCTTTCTTTACAATAAATAAGATGAGAAATAGTGGAAGCAATTTGAGTTAAGGGGTTGTGAAAAAAAGTGGAATGATGGCATATTGGGAATTAAAAAAGAAGAAGTTGTAAGCGGCATAAGGTGCCAAAGACATTTACTTTTTTCATATTAGCTAGTAGTGAGTTTTTGTCAGTGTCGTTCTTTATATACAGTACACTACTAACTAATCTGATGCATTTTATTTTATTTTATTTTTTGCAACAGGCTGTTATTGAAGCCAACATCATACTTCCCCTAGTACACCTTCTTCAACATGCAGAATTTGACATCAAGAAGGAGGCTGCGTGGGCCATCTCAAATGCTACCTCTGGTGGATCTCATGAACAGATCCGGTGCGTTTTTTCATCTCCATGTCTGCATATAGTTAAACAACAGATAAATTGGCTGTTTTTATCTGCATTTGTTGTCAGACCTAAGCTTGGGCTTCTCTTCAATCAACTTTCCTGTATTCTTTTTCCATTCACCATTTCTCATTTCATGTGAAATTACAGCCAAACTAAGCTAACAATATAGCTCTGCAGTGCCAATAACTTTTATTTACTCGGTGCCAACTGCAATAGTATTTTTGCCATCATGCTCTTTCTAGGGGCATGCTCTAGTGAATCATGAGGCATATTAAGGCTCTGTTTGGGATCTCCTAAATAAGCAGCTTTTTGCCTAAAAAGAGTCAAAAGCTTGCTTGGGGAAAGCTAAACTAAAAGCAGTTTTTTTTTTTTTTTTTTTTTGTTTGTTTGTTTGTGGTGAAAAGATGATTTTACTCTCAATACTTTCAGAAATTCCACTGTGACAGTACACAAGGGCTCTGCAATGTAAGGGTAATATGGTAATTTCTCAACAAAAAGCAAGTTCGAAAAAACCTAAAAAAAACCTTTTAGCAATTACCAAATGCATCATATAGATTCTAATAAAGCAAAAAAAGCTACTAAAAAAGCATTTGTCAAGCCCCACCTAATGCTGTTCTTCTGGTCATGTTGATATGCCACTTGTTATTAAATATTAAAAGCAATAGGTTGGCATCGGTTATGTAATGAATTTCTAATGATAATTAGTTATTGAACTTACATTAATTCCCTTTATTGAACTTTCATTAATTCCCTTACAAAGGATGATTCAGTTGGTCCTACCCCATTGACCTTCTAAAGCATCTCTTTACCCTTTCTCTTCGTCATAGCCATACGATAACAGTCCACCTATATTTGGAAAATAATCTGTTGAGCCGAGGCCTGCATTCATTCACGTTCAATGTCCTTGCAGATACTTGGCAAGCCAAGGTTGCATTAAGCCACTTTGTGATCTTCTGATCTGTCCTGACCCAAGGATTGTGACAGTGTGCCTTGAGGGGCTTGAAAACATTCTGAAAGTGGGTGAGTCTGACAAGGAAGCGGGAATGAATGGTGGAATAAATCTTTATGCACAAACGATCGATGAATGTGATGGATTGGATAAGATTGAGAATCTCCAAACCCACGACAACAATGAGATCTATGAGAAGGCGGTGAAGATCCTAGAGAGATACTGGGCTGAGGAAGATGAGGAAGAACAGAATCTTCAAGATGGAATAGATGGAAACCAACAAGGTTTTAATTTTGGAAATACTCAGCCAAACCTTCCTGCTGGTGGATTCAAATTCGGCTAGAGGGGTCTTTAGTGGTATGTCTTTTGGTTTTTTAGGCCTTGTTACTTTGTTTGAATGAATTTATTGACTTTGTTGTTTTAGTTTTACATGTCGCCAACAGTCGGGTTTTTTTTTTGTTCTGGTAAATAGGCTGAATTTGTCTATGGAATTTATTGCGAAGTGTAAGACTTTTTTAACTTGTGGTTTTGACTTCATTTGTATTTTCTATATTGTTGTGAAGGAAAATGTCTCAATGATTTGGTTTACTTGAATATGTAATTTTTTTTATGATTTGAAGCTTTGGTTCTTTGCTGATGTATTGATTGACAGATGAGAATCATGTAGTTATTGGCTTCTTCTTTTTCCTCTTTAGAATGCGTTGAGATACCAATCGTGCAAAATGTCATATGTCATAATAGAAACATAACATTTGAAGCCAATCGTGTAATGTCAGTCAAATTGTCAATTTTTATGGTTCTATCTTGTGTTTAGAATTGAAATTAACATTTTTCAAGGGTTGGATGTTGTGTTCACTGATTCTGCAGACTTTATAATGGGGTCGAAAATATTTCTCTATGAGCAATTTTGCAGGGCGTTGATTGGCATTTTCTTATCATATTGACCTCATTTGGGAAGTAAATTATTTTAGTTTTTGATTATTTTAGTAGGCTAAAATAGTTTTGTTTGGAAAGATGATTAGATTTTTTTTATAATTGAATGCGATATTTCTGAGAAAAAAAATAAAATAATTATAAATTTGATGTGACATTTTATTTTATTGACTATTTTATTCTATTTTTAGTGGATTTTAACCCTTCTAAAAATAAAAAAAAAATCATTTCCCAAACACCACCGATGTGTTTATTAATCATATGTGAATACATGTCAAAGTAATAAATATGAAAAAATGGGTCTGCTGCTGAGGTTTTAATTTGGTGGGGTCCAATCACTTGTCTAGGGTTTATTTTGGTGTGTTTTGAGTAGGGTTGGCAAACGAATAGAGTGTTCAACTTGTGTTCTGTTCGTTGAAAATTTGTTCGAAATTGACTTGTCATATAAACAAGTTAAGTTTAAGTATTATTTTAAACTTGTTAAGTTTTCAATTGAAATTTACAATTTACTACTTTGTTCGATAAATTATGTCAAAATAACATATATCTAAAAAAAAAAAATCACCACTTGATGTGTTAAATTTATTATTTTATTGCTTTTACTTTAATCTTTTTTTTATTTTAATATTTTTTGAACTTTTTTATTAGTCCATTCCATTAAAATAATGAAAACAAAAACATTTGACATTTTCTTTTTGGACATATGACATTTGATATTTTTTATTGGTCCATAGCTTAATGTTTTTGACATTTGACAAAAACAAACAAACACATGTTAAATTGACGACAACTTTTGAAAATTCGGGTGGAGCAAAATTGAATGTCAAATTTTATTATGAAAAGTATTACCACAAAATTAACAATTTAGATAGAGATGCTCTAAGAGCAACTCCACTCGATACTTCAAATTTGAGGTGGCTACCAAATAGTAAGAATTGACATGTAGAAAAGCCTCCACCCATTACTTCAAATGGTGACATTTATTTGGCAACAAGATTTTTTTTTTTGAACAAAGGAGAATATATATAGATTAAGAAAAAATAGTCGGTACATCATTAGAAAGTAGAGAAAACATCTTAGCATGAGGTGAGACAACCCAATTAATAGGCAAAGACGTGTGCAAGAGCCTAAGCAATCCAATGCACCACTCTCTTGTGGATTCGCCTTGTCCAACTGAAGGTCATATTTCTTGCTTGAGAGAGCCACTTAATGTCAGAAGAGATGGCCTTGTTGTCCCAAGGGGGTACATTCTCAGAGATGCACAGTTTGATAGCCAACGAATTATCACTTTCAACAACTAAATTGGTCAAATTCATCTCTTTAGCCATCAAACACGCCAAACGATCCGCCTGTGCTTCAGCTTGAAAAGCTTATGCAGCTTGCATATGGGTGGAAAAATCATCAAGGATATGCCCAGCTGAGTCTCAAAAAATCATAGCAAGAGACACTCTGTTGGATCCCTTGCAGAAGGCAACATCACAGTTGGCTTTCGAAAAACCAGGAGAGGAGGCTGTTATTGATCTGGTTCATCTTGTGTTGAGTTTGTGTCTTGGGTCCCATGTTGCACACTCTGCTAAAATTGGAGCAATTCCTTCCAAGATTGATTAGCTCGATGCAGAGTTTCAAAGAGGCTAATAGGTACATGGTTGAAGACAAAGTCATTTATAGTCTTTCAAATTTGCCAAGCTACACTAATCACTTGACTCAAAAGAAATTTCCCAGATGAATTGACTAAACTAGATCCCAGCAGTCCACTAGTCCAAGCAACAAGGTTATGCACTGTACCCCGATCAAGTAGCAAAGTTAGTTGACTCCCAAACCGCACCACCTAGGTCCATGGGCAGTCAAAGAACAGATGTTCCACAGTTTCCTCATTCGAAAGGTAGATAGGACACATCCCACTCGTTAAGCATTTTTGTTTGAGTAAATTGGCCTTCGTAGCAAGGAAGTTTTTGCAAGCTTGCCACTAGAAATGTTAGTTTTGGGGCCATCTCCAAACTCTAAATGAGCTTCCGAAATTTGAGGGGAGTTGAAATGTTGTTGAAGGCTCATCTTTAGAAAGTTCTGACTGTATTGATTTGGCAAGTGCATACCCAGACTTCACAGAGAAAACACTAGAGTTAGATAGATGTCATACTAACTTATCATCTTTATCCGCTACTAAGACGGAAATAACACTAATGGCTTTACATTCTTCTGGAGACACGGTAGTCTTTAAGATCTCCATCTCCCAAGATTTGAGGATTGGATCAATAACATCAGCCACTATATTGATGGGAGTATTGCCAGGCCTTGTAGAGAAGATTCGAAAATTAGGGGTTCAAGGCAACCATTTGTTAGCCCAAAAACAAATAGAGTGGTCATTATGAATTTGCCATCTAGTCCCCTTCAACAGAAGCTCCCTACTATATAACATACTAGACCAAGCCCATGAGGTCCTAGCTCCTTGAGTTGCCCGTAAGAAAGTGGAGTGAGGAAAGTATAGTCCTTTAAACATCCTAGCCCAGTAAGAGGAAGGATTTTGAAGTAGTCTCCAACCTCGTCGAGCCAACATTGCTGGGTTAAAGGTTTTGAAATCTCTGAAACCCATCCATTTGACAGCCTTGGGTTTTGTCATAGTGTCCCACCCTGCCTAATGAATCCCCATACTCTCAGGATCATCTTTCCACCAGAAATTGCAGATGTATGCATTCAATTTGTTGTAAAACCTCTGAGGTAAAGAGAAGCAAGCCATCGCAAATAAAAGTTTCCCTCCCAACATGAGATAACAGCTTGTATTTCTATCCTTATAACTTTGCAAGCACTCGCTCAATCAAAAAATCGAAAACATCAGTTGTGGACCTCCCCCACAAAGACGGTAGACCCAAAGACTTCACCTTAGTATCAACTTGAGACACCCCCATTGGTGAATAGCGATCCTGATTTAGAATCGACCCATTTAATGCTTTTGAATCCGGGAAATCATATCAGTAGCGGTCGTCTTTTCCTCTTTTCTTGTTGGGTTCTGGCTTCGTGGGTCGACACCATCGCTGCCTTCTTTTCTTGGTTTGTTCTGCTCCTAGGGTCGACACCAGCCTTGGTGGTGTTGACACCACCTCCTTGCTGTGCTCTTAGTATGGCTACTGAAATTTGGGGTCGACACCAGCTTTGGTGGTGTCGACATTTGTCCTGTTATTGGCCTTTAGGGTCGATACCAGGCTTGGGGGTGTCACACTAACTTGGTGCTCAAACTTGGAAATTGCTACTGAAATAAAAGGTCGACACCATGGGTTCTGAGGGTTGACCATTCCCTTGCTATTTTGTTCTAGGTTGCCTACTGAAAATAGGGTCGACACTACTGATTTGGAGGGTCAACCCCTTCTCTGCTACAAAATATTAGTGTCTCAGCTTTTTTTCTTGAAGGTCAACACCACTGTCCCGAGGGTCAGCCCTTGTGAGTTATTTCCAGATTTTTGTTTGGTTTGGGCCCTACCTTTTTGTGGATTTTGACTTGTTCTTTCATTTGACTTTGGAGCTACTATCCTATTAATACCTAGTCAATACATAGACCCAAAAACACATTTTCCTCATCTTATTACTTATTTTTTCCCTCTTCACTCATGACTTCTCTCTCTTTCTCTCAAAACTCAACTTTTCTCACTTAAATCTTCAGATTTACTCACCTAGAGGTACCTTCTCGTCTTGGTTCTTGAAATAGAGTGTAGATTGCGTCAAGAGCTTTCTTTTGATCCAAGTGGTTTGTGATTTCATTGACATTGAGTTTTTTTGAGTTTTTCTCTTCCACCTTCTAAGCTTGAGGTAGGGATTCTCCGCACTTCTTTATGAGTTTTAACTTAGTTATTTGCTTTTATGAAACAACATTGTGAAAAATGTGGATTTTTGAACAAATCTTGGGTTCTCGTTCAAAGTCAAAGAGAGGGGTTTTTAAATGGTTTATGGGGAATGGTTGTGGATGGATATTTATTTATAAGATATGTTGAGATGATGGGTTTTACCTTAAAAAATGATTTAAAAAGAAAAGATGGTTTTTATCCTAGAAATCTCAAATGTTGATTTGTATTGAAAAGTGAAATTGATATTGAAATGGCAAATTGAGTTGTTGTGGATGAGGATGGTGCACTACAACAAAATGCACCTTTGGCGACCAAAATTGGCGACTAAAAAAAATTTAGTCGCCAAAAGCTGTGGAATTAGCGACCAAAATTTTTTTTGGTCGGCAAAAGTACAATATTTAGCTACTAAATTTTTTTAGTCGGGATATATTGATTATTGGTGACTAAAAAAAAATTAGTCGCTAAAAATACTAGAATTGGCAACAAAAAAATTATTTTAGTCGCTGTATATTGAGTTTTTGCTACTAAAACCATTTAATCGCCGAATTTAAAATAAAAAATTATTTTTTATCTTTGGCGACCAAAAATTTGGTCGCCAAAAATATATTTTCAACGACTAAATTTATTTATTTTTTTGTCGCAAAATAGTTAGTTTTGGCTACTAAAATTATTTAGTTGCCGAATGAAAAATAAAAAATTACTTTTTATCTTTGGCGACTAAAAATTTGGTCGCCAAAAATTTATTTTCAGTGACTAAAATTATTTTGGTCGCCAAAAAACTAAAATATTTAGAGGGAAATATTTCAAATTTTGGAGGGATTTATGAAATTAATTAACATTTGCTGACAAAAAA